AAAGGTCTCTAAGAAGATGAAATCAAGAGAGTACTTGATATGTTTGAATGTCTTGAAAGGAGACTTAGGCAAGGGGCAGATCATTTAAATGTTGAATTAATAAGTACATAGAAAAAGAAGCAAATTAAAGAAAAAAGAAAAAAATAGAAACGAGAGTTAACTCCAGGGAAAACAAAAAATTGTGTGTGACTGGAAAAGAGATCATAAAAGAGTACATGGCTCAACTGTAAACAGTATTCTATACAGTCATAAATAATGTAAACACTAAATGTTGATACAACCATAATTACTATACAACTATATTGGGAAAATGGGGGATGGGAAGAATTTGGGGGTGGGGTGGGGATAGGACACAGAAAGCGAACAAAGAAAGCAAATCAAAAACTAGCCCTACCAGCATGTTATTCAGAAATATGGAGGGACATTCCAAAACAATGAGCTAAAATCGCTATATGTGGTTGCCTCTGGAGAAAGAAATGAAGAGGATTTTTTTTTTATCATAGCCTTTATAAATTATGGAAGTATTTTACACTTTAAGCTATGCACACTGATTTAAAAATATACATAGATCCGGAATCCAACCTCTTACTCACTAAATTTGTATTTTGCAAATTATAAATTTGTGACCTGTTAGTGGGTTATGAAATTAATTCAGTAAGTGTTTTTTTAAAAAATAAGAGATTTCAATTTACCTTTATTTTAAACAAAGAAATGGAAAATGTTGACAGCTAATAAAAATATTTCATTTTAATGCTCTTTAAAATCCCACTAATATCATGCATGAAGACTGTTCACTCCTATGTTAGCGAAACCTAAATCCTCTTTGCTTTCTTACAATCAACTCTGTAATACGTGAGCCAGAGAGAAGAGTAACAACATAGGAAACAGAAAAGAATTCAAAGTCATCCAAATAATTCTATGATGCGGAATATTACTGCTTCTTAGGCGATCTATCTTTTTAGTTTTGCATGACTTCTACTAATATTTAAATTTCTGGTCTACAGAGACACTTGAGCAGAAGGACCCATCCTAGAAGCATTTTGGAATGGCAGAGGAAGCCAGTTGGGAAATAAAAAATTGCAACATACAATGCATAAACTAGAAAATATACATGCAGTTGACCAAGACGTAGCTTTCTTCCCCTGACCCTCCCTCATACACTTTACAAGGTATGCTGCACACCTTGCAGTATGGAAAACTGCACCAAGAACTTAAAACTTGGGTGCTTTTTTACTAACAGCCCAAATTTAGCCCAATTTTTCTTTCAACTTAACTAGGTTATATATGCACATTGCTTTGGATGCTTACCCTACAATTCACTTACATAAAATAATCAAGAATAAAAAATTCTATAGAAAGCAAGTTCCATTAAACTCTCTTCATGATAAAGCTTCACTTCCCAAGTTATAAAGATCACATTCATAAGCCACTCATTTCTATTTTTTAAAACTACCACAACCATCCATACTGGATGTAAAAAAGAATGAATGAGTCCTAATACACTGGTAGTTAAAGATAAAAAAGATATTTGTTGAAATATGTATAAACAATATATACTTATATGTGTATGTATCTGAAAATATGTAGGAGAAATGAATGACTGTGGCTACTGTTTCTTTGGAGAGGTGAGGGGATGGGAAGAGTAGGGGTGACACCAGGGGAGAGAGGAAGACTTTTCACTGTATATCTGTTTATACTTTGATTTTTAAACTATTACGCATTTTGGCAAATTAAGAGTTCTCATTCTCCTCCCCTCTCCTGAAGTAGTGGCTTCCACATCCTACTCCACACCCTGCGTGCACAGACATGCACAATCAAAAGTAATTTGTGGCAGGTGTGCTTTCACTTTCTTTGACAAAAGACTTTCTTCCAATCTTGCAAAAGTGAACCTATACGATTAGCACCCATAGGACCAGCACAAATACCACCTGTCTTTGCAGGTTGCCAGGACCCTGGGTCACTTCCAGAGCCCCTCGTCCATGTTCCATCATGCTGGGAACCTAAGCAGTATGGACATTTGCTGAGTGCCTGCTTTGAGCCAGGTGCTGTTCGGGGGCATGGGACACAAAGGTAAGTAGGACAAGGCACCTGCCTTCAGGGAGCTCACAGCCTCGAGAAAGAGCCAGAAGAGGAAACAGGTAATTTCCAAATAATACAGTACATGTAATGGCAAAAGTATGATCTACATAATCTACCACATTGTATTTTCACTATTTTTCCTCTCTCTCCCCACATCTCTCAAAGGTGAGAGCCTCTGGCATGGGCCCAGTTTACTAGATCCTCTGTGCTGAGTACGGTACCCACATGATCTGAACTTCATAAATGTCTCCTGCATAGTAATGCAATGGTATTTTAAGAAACAAATTCATATATGTCTTCATGTTTCAGAACGGTGATCGGTATACATGTCAACTATTAACCTGGACCTCTGCAGTGTATTATAATCTTAGAATTTCAGGATCAAAACAAACATCTTTAACCTCCGTTGCCCTGAGATCTTTTAGTCCTCACTATGTACGCTTGGCTTTGATTCCATAGAGGGGGAAAATTATGAAAGCTAAGACTATCAGCTTCTTTTCCTGGAAATCAATGCACTCTTGCTTGTTTTTACTGGTAGGACTGAAAACTTCCAGCTGGTAACCGAAAATTTCTATTCACGGTTGATACATTAGTAATTTCTTGCAATTTTCAGAACAATAGTAATTCTCAATTTGACACAAGTTTATCAATATTAATTTAATGACTTCTTATACTTCAAACCTTGGACTTCTGGGTAAGAAGAATAATATTCTCAACTTGCTCTAAGCTCTATCCCAAAACAAATGATAGAAATGAATTGAAAACATAACATGAAACATGGTTGTAATTAATCAACCCAGACCCCAAGGAAGAAATTGTTTCCATTTTTAAATGCACTGTTGCTTTAAGAGAAAACCTGGTGGAGAAATATTAAACCAAGCTGCATAATGAAAATCAAAATGCATTTGGTGTCTCCATCCTTGCAAAGGCAGTAATCCTAACCTACAAGCAGCACTGTCATGTTGACTCCTCTCAGTCTGTCTGTAAACTGAATTACCGGTACCCAGGCAGAATCCCACAGAAAGAGCCCATACACCACTCAAAGAATCAGATCTGTCAGGATAGAACAAGACAACACCCATATTTCAATTCTATTCTTACAGCTCCAGATAAAGGGCTATTCTAACAAGCAAGCAGACGGATAAATCCCAAAATCACCCTACAAATCTTATTTAAAAGATCCTGATTAGTAACTGGCAGTGGCAGTCCTAAAAATGATCAACTGATTATTTAGCATTTCTAACCAACTATCTACATTTATAATTTCTATACAAATTCCACAAAATTAAATGTTTCTCTCCACAAATGACAAACCTTCATTTCATTAAATGGTAGCTAACAGTAGCACTCCTTATGGTTAAGAGTGACAAGGAGCAGGTGCCAAACCAGCAAGGAAAACAGAAACAGCAGCTACATAACAGGAGTGAGAATATTCTACCTGTTTCCCAGACTGCTTTGAAGAATCTGACCCAGTAGAATTTTTTTCTGAAACAATATAAAAATACCCAGTTTTGGAAAAAAATGTTGGTGATGTGGACATTCTAATTTAATCTGTATATATTTTCATTTACTCAATGAATTTACTTTCTATCACCATGAAATATATAACCACACTGCTATAAATGTATCTAAAATACTATAAATATTTAAAATGTATCTGAAAATGTTACCCAAGGACACATCCATTACTGAAAAGCATTTAACAAAACATTTTAAATATAATTTAGCTATTTACTATCACGAAAACAATCTGCTTTAGGTAGCAGAATGTTGGCAAACTGGGTAAAAATTGTTAGCCCTAGCACAAAAGCAAAGAATCCCCAATCATACCCCTCCTGATAATTTCTTCCCCCCAATTTAGCAAAACCGTGCCTGAACACCACAGGAATATAGAAGGGAGGCAGTCTCTTCCTTTAGCAATAAAGTAACAAACCCTACTTTAGTCTCTCTTCAGTGAAAACCTCTCAAGAGCAAAAATAACTAACCCCTAGCCCGTCAATCAACAGGTGACTTTTAAACACAAACTCATACTCATGTCCGAAATGAATTAATTTTGTCAAATCTCCCGTCTTTCTTTTCTATTTTTACAAGCTACTGCATTGCTATATTGAATGAATTCCAATATAGCAATAGTTTTCTTCTCGGGGGCTTACCAGAAAAATGCCAAATATTCAAATTATTTTAGGGCATTTTCCCATAGTGCTGCATGGAATAGAGCAGAATAAATAAGGATCCAGCAGTTACCACTTTTCAAATGCAAATATGTTGCCATCTAGTAAACGCAGCCCCCTTTTAAACATCCCCCCAGTGTCTACACAGCTCAGGGCACTACTTTTGTTTCCCCGAAAATCAAAATTCGCGCATTACATTCAGGCATTATCTCAACCCAGTACCAACAAAAAAACAGATTTTAAATGGTCCAGGCCTGAGCCTGCATCAAGACTGCTGTGCTTTAGTGCGGGGGTTTTCTCCCCATTTTACACCGAGTTCCTAAACAATTCTGCCAAATGAAGCAAACAGTGCAGTGGGGTCCACAAACAACAAGGCCTTGGGGTGGTCACTTGGCCGCCTCAGGCCTCAGTTTTCGTATCTGTAAAATGTGGCCGTTGGACTGATCCTCTCTAGGGTCCCATCCGGCCCCCTTGCTCTCTGGGTGCCTGAAAGCCGGCCGGGACACGGCCGACTGATGCCGGCTCTGGCCAGGGTGCCCTGCCTGAGGCCGCTCCAGACGGGAGGGGCAGGGGGAGGGGGGCTGAGGGAGGAGAGGAACTTGGACTTGCAACCGCTTCAGACAGGAGTGTGCGACAAACTTGAAGCCGTCCTCCTAACAATAGGAAAGAGCACTCCCATTTTCCTGGCTCAAACTTGCAGGAGACCGCGGGGTGGGACCCTCCTACCCGCCTGCTCTGCGCCCGCTTTACCTTTCTCCCTGTTTGGTGTTGGAAGGAGGAGGGTGCAGGACCGTTTGATTCCCTTCCATCTCCACCACGCACTTGGTGTTCAGTTCCAGTTCTGAAAGCAAAAGGAAAAACGAACGCTGCCAAGTCGAGCATCCGCGCCTCCAGCCAGCCTCGGCGCGCCGCGCGGGGCTCCCCAGGGAGGCGGCCGAGCCGGGAGCCGGGAGCCGACGCA